ACCACCCACAATCCCAAGGTTGCTTGGAACGGTTCCATCAAAACTTTCAAATCAATGCTAATAAACTATCTCCCCTCAACTATATAGTCCATACTCCTGATCGCAGAAAAGATTCACAACTTGTTCACATTAATCTCATGAAACTTTACCATTCCAGGCAGTCAGAGGAAGACATCCCAGAGGCTATAAGCCTACCTGTATTGCATACGGTTTTGTCAGGGCCGGAGCCGGAGACAGATGACATGGATCTATTGGAGAATTTAGACTTCCCTCTACCTAAAGAAAACCCTGCTAACAGTCACATACTCAACAACTTGGATGAGTATTTTTCTGTTCTGAATCCATCTCAAGCAAAAGATCTCACTAAGTTATTATCAACATTTCCTAAAGTCACGTCAGACCTCCCAGGGTTTTGCAATATACTTAAACATGATATTAAGCTAATCTCAGATGATGTACAACCCATTAGGCAATCAGCATATCGACTAAATCCACAAAAAAAAGAGATTTTGAAAAAGGAGGTAGACTTTTTGTTAAAACATAACTTAGCTGAGCCTAGGACCTCCCCCTGGGCTTCACCTTGCCTTCTCATTCCAAAACCCGATGGCACTTTTCGTTTCTGTACCGATTATCGTAAAGTGAACCAGGTCAGTGTCCCAGACTCCTACCCGTTACCTTTGATTGAAGATATAATAGACAGCATAGGCTGTGCAAAATTTATTACTACAGTGGACATGTTGAAAGGATATTATCAAGTGGGACTCACGGATAGGGCAAAAATAATCTCGGCATTTATAACTCCATTTGGCCTTTTTCAATATTTGGTTATGGCGTTTGGCTTTTCTAATGCTCCGGCCACATTCCAGAGGGCAATCAATTACCTGATTCAGGACCTAGATGGGACGTTCGCCTACCTGGATGACCTGGTGGTGGTGTCGGACGGCTGCGACGAACATCTGGTGCGTTTGGAGATACTGTTCGCACGACTGCAAGAGACTGGATTCACCATAAACCTGGCTAAATCTGCTTTTGGTCGGGCCTCAGTGACTTATCTGGGACATATCGTTGGGCATGGTATGGTAAGACCCAAGGACGCAAACGTTAAAGCCATCTTGTCCTTCCCCACTCCAAGGACGAGGAAGGAACTCATGCGCTTCCTGGGGATGTGCAGCTACTACCGTCGGTTCTGCAGTAACTTCTCCAGCGTGGCCGGACCCCTCACAGACCTTACCAGTTCTGCGGTCCCTTACATCTGGAACCAGAGGTGCGACCAGTCTTTCCACCGCCTCAAAGCTTTCCTTGCCTCCAAGCCTGTAGTCCACCCCCTGACTACACCTTGCCCTTCCATCTGCAAATCGACGCTAGCGGTGTCGGAGTGGGAGCTGTGCTCCTACAACCCGACCCAACCACTGATGTCCTTCACCCTGTGGCATACTACTCCACCAAGTTGAAAAAACATCAGACCAACTACTTGACCATAGAGAAGGAGGCCCTGGCTCTGGTGTTGGCAATAAAGAAGTTTGAATGTTACCTCCAATCTCGCCCACAAACAACCCTAGTCTTCACCGACCATAACCCGCTCACGTTCATCCAAACCAACAAGACCTCCAACCAGCGAATCCTCCGCTGGGCTCTCCTCACCCAGCCCTATTATCTACAAGTCCGGCACATAAAGGGGGTGGACAACCTGATTGCGGACTCCTTATCCCGAGCTCCAGTGGAAATGCAGCAGCTACTCTCCAGACGCACCAGGTGATCACCTCCTTCGCGCCCGCACTATGGAGGTCTTTGGAGGGGGGGGGTGTGTTACGAACCACGCCATCAATTGTCATGATCTACCTACCCAGCACTACGAACCACATCTATTGTCATGATCTACCTACCCACCACCACGAACAACGCCATCTAGGGACGAAACCCGAGTATGACTAGTCTTAGTTACCACTCCGGGGTTTCCCTTCTCCATATCCTGGTTGTTGCGTCACCTCCTCCAAGTCTTCCTCATCAGCTCCAGATCGAGGAGAGTTCAGTTCACTCTGGGAAGTGACCACACTAGGATCACCTATCCTGGAAACCTACGGCACAGTGACTACCTACCATCTTCTTCAATACTCAGCCTTACTCGTCAGCCATCTCAGCACTGCACTTGAGTATTTTGTAATCATATATTGCCTCCCACCTCCCCTTACTTCTGTTTGTTGTATGTTGTATAAATATGTATATACTGTTAAGCCAATGTTACGTATGTTTAGGTTAAGTATGGTTAAGGGTAAATTATTGAAAGCTGAATATTTTGTTAAGGAATTTATGGTACTTTATTATACACAACAAAAATTCGCATCCTTTGTCTACCCCTTTTATAGTCTGATTGTCTTTGTTTTTTTATTGTTGTTGCCTGTTGGGATCTGGGTAGACTTTTAACTATATTCTAAATCCCCAACTCGTAACAGTCACCACCACACTGTATCACCACCACTTTATGTCACCACCACTCTATACCAACACTACACTGTATCACTCACCACACTTTATGTCACCACCACTCTATATCACCACTACACTGTATCTCTCACCACACTGTATCACCACCACTTTATGTCACCACCACTCTATATCACCTCCACACTATATAACTCACCACACTGTATCACCACCACTCTATATCACCACTACACTGTATCACTCACCACAGTGTATCACCACCACTTTGTCACCACCACTATATCACCACCACACTGTATCACCACCACTTTATGTCACCACCACTCTATATCACCACTACACACTGTATCACCACCACTTTATGTCACCACCACTTTATCACCACTACGCTGTATCACTCACCACACTGTATCACCACCACTTTATGTCACCATCACTCTATATCACCACTACACTGTATCACCACCACTTTATGTCACCACCACTCTATATCACCACTACACTGTATCACTCACCACACTGTATCACTCACCATACTGTATCACCACCACTTTATGTCACCATCACTCTATATCGCCACCACATTGTATCACTCACCACACTGTATCACCACCACTTTGTCACCACCACTATATTCTCACCACATTGTATCACCACCACACTGAATCACCACCTCCCTATTCACTACCACTTTATGTCACCACCACACTATATCACCACCACACCGTATCACTCACCACTACACTGTATCACCACCACTTTGTCACCACCACTCTATATCACCAACACACCGTATCACTCACCACTACACTGTATCACCACCACTTTATGTCACCACCACTCTATATCACCACCACACTGCATTACCACCACTTTGTCACCACCACTCTATATCACCACCACACTGTATCACTCACCAATACACTGCATCACCACCACTTTATGTCACCACCACTCTATATCACCACCACACTGCATTACCACCACTTTTTCACCACCACACTATATCACCACCACACCGTATCACTCACCACTACACTGTATCACCACTACTCTGTCACCACCACTCTATATCACCAACACACCGTATCACTCACCACACTGTATCACCACCACTTTATGTCACCACCACTCTATATCACCACCACACTATATCACCACCACCCTACTTACCACCACGTTATGACATCACCACACTCATGTGTTATGTGTGGCAACAATGTTATGAATGCATTTGTTATGCAAGTTCATGCCATGTCAAAGTTCGCAATAAGTTCCTTCCTGTGCTCGTGTGGTATGAGACTCCGAGTGTTGTGGTGGTGGAAAGTGAACCTCACCATCGTAGTGCCTCGTTACCACATTGCTGAACTAGTCTGCGTCCGATCACCCAGCCTTACCACAACCCTGGCCTCGGCGAACACCAAGCCAGGGGGGTGTCGAAACTTTGGATTGTGACTGTACAGAAGCAGTAGATATCTCACAAGCAGAGCCGGATTATCACTGGCTGACCCCCCCGCCAGTCTCCGGTAACTTCCAGATGATCGGGTATGTTTTCACAGCTTGAGTCCACACTTCGAATATATAGTCGGCACACTACCAGTGTACACTTCCTTAGTCTTCTCACTTTATATTAATAACAACAATTCCACAATACTTGCACAACAATTGTCTTACGTTGTTCTGCTAGGCTTAATCTTTACACTAGGAACAGAAGCAAGCGACTAACTCCTAGACAGTCGCGTGCCTTGCCAGACACTTCTTGAACATCCTACAATCACTCTGAGACGCCTGGGAGATTCTAGACCGTTCTACTCTGATCGAAGCTTACAGTAGTAAGTAAATCAGAACAATGCAATTCATTGTAGAATATTCTTACATAATTAACACATCAATATATACACGAAAATTTCACTAAATTTGCCAAAATATCTGCTGCTTGGGACAGAAAACAATCAAAACACCGAGTTTACAAAATATGATACGATAATTATGCCTCGGCATAACAGTATATATATATATATATATATATATATATATATATATATATATATATATATATATATATATATATATATATATATATATATATATATATATATATATATGCAAATAAATCACTGTAGTTGCTTATTTCAGTGAGTACAGACTGTACTCACCCCTGAAGATGTGAATTACACGAAAGCGCTTGGGAACTTCGTGTCCTTGTGGTTATCAGTATATATATATATATATATATATATATATATATATATATATATATATATATATATATATATATATATATATATATATATATAACTCCGAGATAGCTGTCAGTGATATATAGTATGGTAGTATGGCAATATGCTAGTATGCTAGTATGGTAGTATGGTATTTTATCAGTATGGTAGTATGGTAGTGTATTGTTATAGCAGTATGATAGTATAGTAGTTTGGCATTATGCTAGCATGTTTAGTATGGCAGTATGGTAGTATATCAGTATGGCAGTACGGTAGTTTATCAGTATGGTAGTATGGCAGTTTGGTAGTATGAACACTTGGTAAGGCTATTGTGCTGACTTAGTGAGATTGTCATGGCGGCGGCGGAGATGATGAGAAGGATTTTCCTGCCAGCCGTGTCCACCAGTGCCCCCGCGACGACTGCGCTCACTGCCATCATCAGACCCACGATGATAGTGTTCACATCCGCTGGCAGACCCGACCCAGCAGTCTGCATGAGTGATAGAATATCGATGAAGTTGACGCAAGCAGACAAGTGCAAACCGGCATTACTCAATCCATTGTTTACCATCGTGAGATGTATAAAACGAAACACTGTATATGGAGCAAGTAACAAGATCACTAGATTACAAGATGTTGTAACCGCTAGACTAAGGTTAGAATACAAGTACCTCTAGTAGTACTGTATATCCGTCAAGCAGATGTGAACAAAACTAAACGCAAAGTGTGTGGCCTGGCATATCGCCACAAACTCCAACACTACGTCCTTGACTGTATGAAGATAGAACCTTTTAGGGACAGGTCCATGCCATGAAGACTCATGATTTTGTACATTTATTTGTTTACTCATATCCTACGTGTGTTACTGTCGTGTTATTGTTGTGGAGTAGAGTCTTCAAGGTCTCACAGGTCCTTCCTAACACTGCCTGACAACACCTCTCTATAGACAATCCCAACCAATGGTAAGCTTGTATGACAATTTCCTGAACATCTAGCCATCTACCATAAGACAGTACTAGCTGTCTCACTATGGAAGTAAACGCTAAGATGCTCGAGTTGCTGGATGTTACCTCACCTTGAATATTAAAGACATGTTAAATAATACAGGAATAGCACCCGACAGCTGCTGTAAGACCATGAGGATGCAGGAGATCACGAGAGGCTTGACGATGTAAGGCTTTTTAAGTTCGTCCATGGACACTGTGTTCTGTCGAGCTTCCTCCTGCGTTTGTCTCATCACGTTCATCTCTGGTTCCACGTCGTAATGTTTACCTGTCGGAGTGCGAGCTTGTTAGTGTGTCTGATTGACAGTCGAACAAATTTATCAGAAAGAGATGAATCTGTACTATGTGTTCGACACACACACACACACACACTACTACTACTATTACTATTACAACTACTACTACTACTTTGCTGTCACTCTGAATCGAGTATGACGATCATCCAGCTGTGATACAATGATATGAGTTATTGTGGATGTCACCTAGGTTGGTGAGTTCTGAGGTGACCAACGAAGCCGAAACGGGACCGTTAGGGACGATCACAGATGTGGCACATATGAGGGCTACATCTAGTGCGTCGGGGGGGGGGGGCGGCGGCTGCGTCTTTCCGGCGTTGGCGCTTGTCTGCCTCGTTATGCAGTCGTGCTAACTCGTTAGTATTGACACCTTCTTGTGTGGTGCTCCCCCAAGCGTTACGGTGTGAAGTAAACGTCTCTCAGATGATGGGGTCGATTTGGCACTTTTTCAGGCTTCTCTCAAGAATATCCTTATACCTCTTCAGTTGCCAGCCAGCATTACGTTTACTATTCGTTAGGTGACTGTAAAGTAGGTGCTTTGGCAGTCTACTGTCGTCCATGCGGGAAACATGGCCAGTCCAAAGTAATTGTTCATGGATAATGGTAGCCTCGATGCTCCTCCAGTTGATGTCAGTGAGAATACTGGCATTTGTTCTCTTGTCTTCCCAGCGAACTCGTTGGATGGAACGTAGACTACGTCGGTGAAAGATTTCAAGTGCCTTGAGGTGCCTCCTGTATGTGACCCATGTCTCGCTGCCATATAACAGGGTGGGGAGGACCACTGCTTGATATACGTATAACTTTGTAGATAATATCAGCTCCCTACAGTGAAGACATAGTTTCGGTGTCTGCCAAAGCTTGAGATGTACATCTGATCCGATGCTGAATCTCTTCATCGATGTCTGCGGTGGTGGACAGGTGGGAGCCGAGATACCGAAAGTGGGTAACGTTAGTGAGGGTAGTACCGTTTAATCTGGATGGATGGTGGAGGTGTGTCTGAACCAGGTGCAGGTTGAAAGAGAATCTGAATCTTATGTACATTCACCTCAAAACAGAAGTGTGCATACGCATCTGCGAAAGTGTTCGGGATCTCCTATAGGTCACGTTCAGTGTAAGCAACAAGGGTGAGGTCGTTTGCATACTGAAGCTCAGTAATGGAAGCTGCTGACACCTTTGTTTCTGCCTGGAGTCGTCTTATGTTGAAGAGACTCTTTATCTGGCACCCGGTGTCCACCCCGCCGGCTAAATTTGCGCTGGCATGGGTAAGGAAGGCAGCCAAGAAAATGGAAAAGAAAGTTTGTGCCAGTACACATCCTTGTTTAAGCCCCTTTTGGATCAGGAAGAACTCAGAATGGGTGCCATTGTACAGGACACTGCCGTTCATACCAGCGTTGAGTTGCCTCACAATGGCGATGAATTTTGCAGGGCAGCCAAAACGGCCGAGGGTCCACCAGAGGGCTTCCCTGTTGACCGAGTCGAAGGCCTTGGTTAGGTCAATGAAAGCCATGTACAGGTCACAACGCTGTTCTCTGCACTTTTCCTGTATCTAGCAGGCAGCAAAGATCATGTTAGTGATACCCTGTGAGAAAGTTTTCCACCTCAGGAATAAGTCCGTTTTGGAGGCCTCGGACGATAATCTTGCCAGTAACAGACAGCAGTGAGATCCCGCATTAGTTGCCAAAGTCTGACCGGTCTCCTTTGTTCTCATAAATATTGAGGATGGAGGCATCTTTAAGAGCTTGGGGGGATTTCCTCCTTTTCTCATATATTCTACAGGAGAGAGTGGAGACGGCTGGTAAGCAGAGGTCCCTCTGCCTTATACACCTCGCCTGGAATTCCATCAGGCCCTGAGGCTTTGTTATTTTTCATCTGTTTGATGGTAGTAGCTACCTCATCCTGGGATGGAGGATAGCTGAGGTGGGTTAGCTCTGGATGTTGAGAGACCTGCTGGGTAACCAGGACATCCATATCATTGTTTAGGTTAAGCAGCGAATGGTAGTGCTCTTTCCATCATGGAAGGATGCCTTCTTCATCTTTAATTACAGAGTTACCATCGGATGCGCAGAAAGGGGGTGCGCCATTAAATGTTTTAGTGGAATAGAAAAATTCGCGCATCTTGTGTTGATCTGCAAATTTTTGCATTTCACAGGCTTTATTTTTAAACCAGTAGTTCTTTAGTTTGAGAAGTTCCCACTGGGCCACCGCATTCTTCTTGTGGAAGGTATCAGCTTTCGTTCGACACTGAGGGTTGTTTTGTCAGTCAGAAAAACCAGCACGTTTATCATTGACGAGTACTGATATCCAGGTCATTTTCATTAAACCAGTCCTGTAGTATTCTTTCGATTTGGCAGGTTTTTGCCAGGACAGAGTCGATAATACCCCATGCGGCACTGGGATTTGGGTTGTTTGTTGTCGGGTTGTTCATCAGCCCATGTTCGAGCTGTTCCTTGAAGATGTTTGCTACTGCTGGATCCTCCAGACACTTAATGTTAAAACCTCTTCTGGAGGATTGTTGCCTTCGCTGTTTTGGGGCGACGTGAAGTGAGAGCTTGGCTCTGAGGAGCCGATGATCACTGTCGCAGTGGTCTGTGCCACACATGGCACGGGTGATGGGAACATCTCGGCGATCTCTTTCTCTGACAATAATGTAGTCAATGAGATGCCACTGTTTTGATCGTGGGTGTTGCCACGAACCCTTGAACTTGTCGGCCTGCCTAAACAAGGTATTGATGATAGTGAGGTTGTGTGCAGCACACTTGCTGAAGAGGAGTAGGCCGTTAGGATTGCACTTGCCAAATGTCAGCATCTCTACCAACTCTGGCAATGAAGGCACCTAGGAGCACAACCTTATCTTCTCTGGGTAAAGGTTAGCACTCTGTCGATATCGGCGTAAAAGGCCTCCTTGATGTCATCCTCTGCATCCGGTGTTGGGGCGTGTGCTCTGATGAAGAAGGCATGATGTGAGTGATTCTGTGGGACTCGGAGAGTCATAAGGCGCTCGTTGATCCCAACAGGCATTTCAGTTAGTATACTGTATGTACGATGCATTGCAGGATTGCAAAACCAACTCCATAAATGCATTTTCTCTCTGCAGCAAACTTACCCTTCCAAAAGTAGGTATAGCCAGACCCCCGTTCTACGAGTCGAGCCTGGTCTGAGAGCCGGGACTCACTAATGGTTGATATGTCGATATTATGCCAAGCCAGCTCTTTTGCCATAAGGGAGGTTCTTCTTTCAGGGCGTGCATTTGTGCCAGTATCCAGAAGGGCCCTGACATTCCATGCTGCGACCATAAGAGGTTGTATAGTTTGTTTTTGTTTTGATCTGTAATTATTACTGTTTTCGACTGCATAAGGATGACCTTACTGGGTGCGGTTGCCCAGTCAAGTAGGTTTTTTTAGGCAGACTATGTTTAGGGCACCTTTTATAGCCCACTCCCGATGTGGGGTGAGCAGAGTGGGTCCTTCAGAGGGCTGCTCCGTCCCACAGACAGGACCGGATTGCACTACTGCCTAGATCCCATTGCATAAGCGACTATCTTATCTATGCCGCCCATGTGCAGAGTATAGGGGGTACAGGGGTTTTGATGATGTTGATGATGATGATGATGATGATGATGATGATAATGATAAGTATGACGAGCTGGGTGATGGCTGCATGAGATTTCATTTTTGTGGTGAGGCAGGAGCGCAGGTTGCATCCACACATCTTGGCTCTCCCTTCTCCTGATCCAGTGGTGCAAGTGTTGCAACGACTGGGGAGAGGGAGAATTGCAATGGACTGCCGATAGCCCAGTTTGTTGGGTTTCGCCTAAGTAGCCTGTCCATCATACATTGCCTTCATCCACCAATGAAGTCGTTGGGTTCCCATGGTGGTTACCTCTTCCGAGATCCCGTGCTGGTCTAGCCTGGGCCCACAAGGCACCCAGTTCTGTGAGTTCCCATGAGGAGCCACAGCATGAGTCTTGATAGTGAAGAAGCTGTGTACTGGCAGGGGAAGTCTTGTGCAAATTGCTTCCCTGTTCATCACGAGGGGTAGACAGCGGCGGTAGCTGAAAGGGAGAGGAAGCAAGCAGTGCTTGCACCTTAACACTAACAAATGCTGCCACACTAGACGCATTACACCACCCTGTGCACACACACAGACACTCACACACTACACCTTT